AAACTCTGACCTCAAGTGATCTGCCCACCTTGGCCTCCCAAAGTGCTAGGATTACAGGCGTGAGCCACCGTGCTGGGCCAGAGATTCTGATTTGACAAGTCTGGGTAGAGTAGGAAGAGAACAGGGGGACTAGGCCTCAGGAAGGCCTGGAGTCATTCTCAGAGGCTTCCTCAGCAGCCACGGCCCTTTAGACTCCATCAGCACTCTTGCCCACTGTGGGGTTCCAAGCCTCTGGGTGGGATGGGACCTGGGTTCATTTGGAACCAGCAGAACACCCCTGGCTGGGCTGCCTCAGGGGACTCACCTCAAGGATCTCGTCCTTGGCCTGCTGCAGCTTATCAGGCTTGTTGGCCCACAGCAGCCGAGCCTCGGCCTCCCGCTTCTTCTGCAGTGTGGCTTGGGCATCCTGCCAGCGCTGCCATGTCTTCATGCGCTGGTCGAAGGCAGCCTGTGGGGTTGGGGTTGAGGAGGACCACAACCAGCTCTTCAAGAGCTCTGCTGGCTCTTCCTTGGGGCAGGCTCTCCCAGCAGCTGCGCCAGGGACAGACTGAGCAAGGGCAGGTTCTGCAGCCGCATGTTAGTGCCCAGCTGGGAAGTTTAATGTCTAGGAGCAAAGCTTGGGTAATACTTCTCTCCAAGCTTCCAGGAGGCCAGTGCCATGCTGCTTCATGCTACTCCCAGGGCTGGATGGCAGGGAGCCAGTAGGTGGCCTTATGCCAGTGACCAATACTATGGCTTACGAAAGTACCTCCCTCAGATCAGTCAGTTCATAAGGCTACATACTTTCCCTGAGTGCCTGCCATGTGCCAGGAGCTAAGAATACAGTGGATGAAACTCATGGTCCCATTTTCATGGAATTTGTCATCTAATGGAAAAGGCCAACATTACATTCGCAATTAAAATAGATAATTACAAGTATGCAGACTACTGGGAATGCAGCACGGTACTATAACATGAAACCAGGGGCCTAGCTTAGCCTGGGAAAGATGTCAGGGAAGTCCACCCTAAGGACCCAACCTTTAAACTGACACCCAAATAATCTACAAGGTTAGCTTAACAAATCTTTAAATCAACACCTAAACCCACCATAGGGCCACACTGCTTTTTCCCAACCACACACTCACCTGCTCTAGGCTACCAAGGCCTCCAAGAAGCTCCCCAAAATCTATTTGCTAGTTTTCCTTGTTTCCAGTTTCTTGACCACAATCAACATTTCCAGGGAAGGAAGCTGCTGGCCTGACTAACCCACACCTGCCCGGACTTGCTTAATAGGCCACAAGCAGCAGCCTGGATCAACGATCTGTGCCTGGGGCCAGCCACCCAGCCAGGTTCCATCGGCTCTCTCGCTGTCCTGCAAAAGTTCCCTGAATATTTTCTTTTTTTTTAGACGGAGTTTCACGCTCGTCACCCAGGCTGTAATGCAATGGAGCGATCTCGGCTCACTGCAACCTCCACCTGTTGGGTTCAAGCGATTCTCCTGCCTCAGTCTCCTGAGTAGCTGGGACTACAGGC